CAGTCTGAACCAAATATCACGTGTCACTAGATAATATTATAAGAATCAAAGCTAACAATATATGGAGAACTGTTTCTACAGTTAAATAGTCAGACATTAGGAGCGATATTTATGGTTATTTAGCGTGTTTTAAGAGAAAAGTAAGGGGGTTATTTTTTTCCAAGTCATTTTCCCACTATGTCATTCATTCATTTATTTAAAAAGAATCTTACTTTGTTGAATAAATATTTAGTTAAATATTTAGTTTGTTAAATAAATATTTAGCTCTGTACTAAATATTTATTTAACAAACTAAATACTTTGCTCGCTTGGTGCTAGCTAAGTATTTAGCGACAATGCAAATTCACTTGCCTAAAAGCAGATACAACCCCTGCCGCATCTTCGTCACACTGACAGGAAATAAGTTAATTTATGAAAAAAATTCAATCAATTCCTAAATGAAAGGTCCTATTTGAAATGGTTTTATTTGACCGTATACATTAGTTTTAAGAAAGGAGCAAATGTTTAATGTGGTGTTAACCTGCACCACAGAGCTACAGCCACACACGGGGCATCACTGTGTTGCCATAGCAACAACTGCTTTCCCTTTCTGCTGGAGGGGAGAAGCCGTTCCATTGTCGTTCACTACCCCCCCTTCATCGAGAGTGACAGTGAAGGGTTAGTGCTAAGGGGTAGTTTGGGATTCAGCCGACGACAAAGCGACTAAACTGAAAGCAGTTTCTGGCCTGGAGCCGTAAGAGTTGAATAAATATTCCCAGGATTTTACTTTGATTGTTCATTTCTGCTTTTCGTCATTTGCTAAACATTCTGAAATTTAACACAAACTTTCTCTCTTACAGGGAGACATTGAGGGGGCTAATGCAGAGCCTAATGACAGGAAGGTAAGTGGAACATTTCCAGTACCGGTACTAGTTGGGTTTGGGTCATATAATCCCTGCTTGATCAATACAAGCATAGAAGTACTAGCCTTTTTTGCTGATATAAAATCCTTTTTAAAGACATTGATTTGAACTAAACATTACTATTAATCCTGAAATAAAAATTCAGTTTGAGATGCAGCCACATCTGTTCCTCGATGACCAGAACCATGAAACCATCCTAAGATCATAAACCTGTAACTGCAGGTTTCCACATCTGGCAAATGAAGCCGTTGTTCTGTCAGACCAGTATACCCATAGTCAGTACCATTTATCCCTATAGTTATTCCCTTATAAAATAGACTTTAAACTGTGGAAGCTCATTGGTAGAATTCTCTTATGACAGAAAGAAGGACACTTGCACACGATTTACATCATTTTGTCCTCCGGCGGGGGGAAACATTCATTTACTATTCGAATTCCTACAGTTGTCTTAAACACTTCATAAGTTCAGCGCTACATCGTCAGACATCTCAGTTTCCCCCCAAATGGCAGACACGTACAAAGATTTGTACGTGACCTCCAGCATGCATTATTTCTGTGTCCGGTCCTCTGCATATTATGTGTTGCTAAGAATAAGGCCTTGAAATATGTTTGCACAGTGTGAAAACTATAAAACACCATCAAAACTACCTCAACGGACATGTGTCCATTTAGTCATGTACAACAAAAACTATTTAATGACTTTTTGGTGTTTTTTTAAGCATATGGCAAACTGACCTTTAAATAGTTGTTTTTTGTACATGACTAAAGGGTTACACGCCCACTGCAGTAGTTTAAAGTCTATTTTTGGTTGAAAACTAAAGGGATAAATGCAAATCTGACATCTTGCGCATGGGATATGCTGATCTGATGGGATATTCTGATCTGATGGGGTATGCTGATCTGATCTGATGGGGTATGCTGATCTGATCTGATGGGGTATGCTGATCTGACAGAGCAGCGGCTGATAAACAGATGGTTCAGTCTGCAGCTCTCCTTCACATGCTTAAACCACATAGTGAGAAATACTCCCTCTGCACATCCAACCTGTGCAGATCTGCACATTTCTGAGCCTGCTTCTCTTATAGAAGATGAAAATCAAAGCTCATGGACTTAGTCTTCTGCTCTCCGTACATAATTATATTGTAGGTTGCGTCACTAAGGCAACAGTTCAATAAATGTCTCCCATTCCTCTCAAGCATGAGGAAAATCTTTGGTTGGATGTAGAAACAGGCCTGAGCCTCAGATTGCCACCAAAACTCCTCCGCAGGCTGCTGCTTGGTGGTCAAACCGCTTCATTGCTGCTCCGCCTGAAGCAGGAGAGCATCAACAGCCGCTGTGCTAATCGGCTACGAGCCGCGAGATCAGAGCTCTAATGACTGAGGAGGAGACGCTCGTTCTGCAGGGATTTATGTTTTACTACATAGAGCTAGATCACACAGAAGTCTGAAGGGAAGCTGTGAAATCAGCTGACCTGAAAGCACCAGACAGAATCAGGCTAATAACAGCCGACGGTGCTGCCGCTGACCTTACAGTCAGAGTAGAACAACAAACGATTGTTGTTGCTTTTTTCTAAAATGAGAATTAAAAATAAAAAGCTTCGCTGCAATGGAAAAAATAATCTAAATCTCTAAGTAATTTTT